TAAAAATTTTTAAAATTACATTTAATTTTTTAACTCTAATTAGGCTACTATTTATAAGCATAAAACTATGTATTCGAAAATTCGTTCTAAACAAAACTCTCCGAATACATTCAGAATATTCAAATTTGGTATGATCAAAAAGAAAATCAACAAAATACTGCTTTTTTGCGTATTTTAACAAAGATTCTGTACGCAAAATTGGTCAGAAAATGGTCAAATCTTAGATTTGACCTCATTGTCGTGATTCTAGCGTTATAAAACCCTTAGATACCGACTTTCGTGCAAATCGGTGTAAATTAATTTTTTGACTGATAATTTCGACGACTTTTCTGCCTGACTGACTATTCCTAGAGCAAATTCTAACATCGTTTTTCTCAAAATCTAGTGGACCGATTTTCATGGTTGGTAATTCGTTTTAAAAAATTGTCAAGAGCATTTTATAACTCTATGAAACATTAAAATCCAACTATTATTTCCAATTAAAAAACGAGGTTAAATTTTGACAAATGACTGTGCTATTTTAGGTATTTTTTTTATAGAAATATTTTATATATTTTAGTGGTACATACGTCCTTAAAAAAGCTACTTCCCTCTTCTTTCAAATGGTATTTTTCACGTTAAAATCCTATTAGCTATTTTTGAATTATAGCCGTTTCGATCAGATATTCCGATAACGACTTCTCAAAAATCGGAAAAATTTGGGAGTCAAAAATCCGATAAATTTAAATTCAGACAAAAAATTATATTTGGGGTGTATACAGGTGGCAAAACTAAATTTCATATTAGTTTCAGGAAAAAAATTATACCCTAGTTTACTTAAAATATATTCGATTTTTAGATTTTTTTGTTATTGATAAACTATTACTGTATTAAAAAATGAAAAATTTCAACTTCCTTTTTTTTTTTTTTTTGCGAAACCAGGGTTTATTGGCAAGAAGTGGCGGATACGTGTCCGATATTTTGGGGTATAGAATTACCATAAAAATTTGGTCAAAATCCGTGACCAACCAACCTGGTTGCCCCTTGTCAGCCCGATGAGTTTCCAGGCAGAAGCGGAGTGTAAATTTTGCCAATTTATATCTCTTCCATTTTTTTCTCAAATTTTAAGGACGGAGATTAGATAGAGACATAGGATTAGAGATGTGAAAGGTATTCAAATTGCCCTTTTGACCGGGGACGAAGACACAGCCGTAGGGAAACGGTCCGGCGTTGATTATTGAAATTTATGCCCACTGGCCGCGGCCTGGGATTTTTTTTTTTTATTACGTACTAAATCACAAGCCGACGCCTCCCAACAATATTTAGATCAGAGACGGTAACGTTGGCCGTGACTGGGAATAGAGAAAAATATTTATTCCAAGGAACTTCGGGAACCTGGATATTTTCTTGATGTTTCCCCATGCAAAAGTATTGAAAGTACATTAACAGACTACTCATTTGGAAATCATGAACAATAGAAGATTCTTGAGGATCACATTAGATGGGGAAACGCGTGAAGATTTTTTTTTAAATTTTTGGTTCTTTTCTCGTGATATTTCGTCAGGATGATCATAACGATAAACATTGCAACAAGCAGTGTAAACCCAGTATGTTAACCTGCCAGATTAAAATTTCGTGGCTAAGCCAAAAAAAATTCTACCTAATATTTATTCATTCGAGTAATGTAACTCTTTGAAACTGGAAAAAAAACTTTACAATGGAAAATTCTAACTACTTTTGTACGCAAGTTCGGACCGACCGTCGCTTTATTTTCAAAACCCAAAATTTAATTAATTATTAATCACTGTATAAAATCCAAGTAACTCTATCCAAGACATCTCAGGATGTCTTTTTTTTCAAGGATATCGCCACATACAAGAAAAAATAGTCTCTTTGACATTTTTTAAATTATAGAATGTTTATTATATCCAGAGTATGAGCTGTCAAGCGATTCAATGAAAATGACTGATTTTAATATTAAATAGTTAAATTACATTTGATTAATTAAACTTCTGAAGAAGAAGTCGCTCGGCCTGGTTTCGCAGTTACGTTGTACCTTTGCGAAAATAACGTTTATTTTTTCTTTTGAAATAAAAACATTTTCGGGGTTTTAACACGTTGAATATTTTTGGTTTTGAAAACAACCGTCCCCGAGGAAAGAGACGGTTAGAAAGTACGAAGAACCGGGAAGTTTCGACGTTTCCTATTCTTTCCTTAAATTTTTCACGGTCCCCGGTTCCATTCCAAAGAAATCGATGCACACATTTTCACAGACGCCTTTAATTAATCGCTTTTAAATTAAGCTCCTCGAAAATAAATCTAATAATAATTCGATAAAAATAATAATGAAGCCCAAGAACAAGACGAGAAAAGGGTTAAAAATCAGCTTGATTTTGTACCACGTGTAAATGCAACTTGACCCAAGCACAATGTAGAATGCAAATTTCGACCAAGAGCGACAAATTTTCTAAATCAAAATTCAAATTTCTATTCTCAACTGAACAATTAGCCAAATTGACAACATTGACATGAAAATTAAAATAAGGCCGAGAAAGAGATTTTATTTCTTAAAAAAAAATTAATTGATAAATCCGTCTTCAGTTTCATATTACAGGAAATTTTCCAAAAACACCTTTATCACAGAAAGCTTCAAACATTCCAAAAAACCTGCCTAATTGTCAACCCTTTCTTTGAAAAATAAATTAAAATTGTGAGAATTCTTTCTATGGTTTGAGGATGAATCTGCAATTTGACCGATTCATCCTGGTCTCAGTGTCGGTCTGTCAAGCGCATTTCGTCATCTTCAGTGTGTCTGTACAGACCACGTAGACCGGGAAGATCCGACCAAATTACAAAAATATACAAGACTCAATATGATAAAAGAATACAATTTGAATTCTCAATCTCTCTTCAATTTTGAAAAAGTATTGCTCCTTAACGAAAAGTATGTGTCACTAAAATATAGCCTCATATAAAACGGGAAGTGAACAAAAATAAAAATTCAACAACTACGCGAAAAAAGCTTAATACAGTTTAAAAACTTCCAAAACACAGCCATAAAATTTAACTTAATTCCTAAAATAGCAAAAAAAAAATTACAATGTACAAAAAATATTCTAATTTGACTTTAATCACGGCAAACATGAGAAAGTTTTGGAAACTCAAATCAACTTCTCTTCTCCATGGAGAAGAATTAAAAATAGACAATAGACCTTCGAAAAAAGTAGATTATTTACTGCCGTCTGAGGATGAACCTGAACTTAGGTCGTTACCTATCATCCTGGCCTCACAGTGTCGGTCGGTCTGTCAAGAGCATTTCGTCATCTTCAGTGTGTCTGTACAGGCCAGGTAGACCTGATCCCACCAGGAAGATCCGACCAAATTACGAAAATTTACAAGACTCGGTATGATAAACGAATAAAATCTGAATACTGAATCCTCGTTCTAATACATTGCTCCTTAAGGAAAAGTTTCTGCCTCTAAAATAATGCCCTACAACGTCTCATTAAAAAAACGGGAAATGGGCAAGAATAAAAATTCAACACTTACACAACAACAAAAAACATCAAAAAAGAAAGTCTGAAATGTTCCAAAACACAGCCATAAAATTTAACTGTCAATTTAGAAAATAGCAAAAAAATTACAAATGTACAAAAACTATTCAAATTATTGGAAACTCAAATCTAATTCCTCTTCTCCAGACAAGAATTAAAAATAGAAAATAGATATTCGAAAAAAGTAGATTTTTTACTGTCGTCTGAGGATGAACCTGAAATTTCGTCGATCATCCTGGCCTCCAGCGTACCTTTATCAAGAGCATTTCGTCATCTTCAGTGTGTCTGTACAGACCAGGTAGACCAGGAAGATCCGACCAAATTAATTATCCATGTGATAAACAAACACTGTGTGAATACTAAATCTTCGTTCAATTTCGAAAATAGATTGCCCGTTTAGGGAAAATTTCTGCCACTAAAATATTGCTCTACAACATCTCATAAAAAACGGGAAGTAAACAAGAATAAAAATTGAAAACATACGCAAAAAAAAAATTAAGTTTTAAGTTTAAAATCTTTCAAAACACAGCCATAAAATGTAACTGTCAATTTATAAAATAGCAAAAAATTACAAATGTATAAAAACTATTCAAATTTGATTTTAACCACGACAAACATGAGAAATTCTTGGAAATTCAAATCGAATTCTCCAGACAAAAATTAAAAACAGACAATAGACCTTCGAAAAAAATTCAACACTTACAAAAAAACAGACCTTTTAATTCTTCCTAATCACAGTCATAACATTTAACTGTCACTTTATAAAACACCGGCAAAAAATTTTCAAATGTACAAAAACTATTGAAATTTCAATTTGACAGTAATCAAGGCAAACATGAGAAATTATAGACAGTCTTGTAAATCAAATTCCTCTCTCCATAGATAAGAATTAAAAATACTCAATAGACCTTGAGGATGTTTGCCTTGGGTTGGGGGAACCTTAAAACTCATACTTCACAAAACTTGATAAAGTCCACCAAACTTGGCGCTAAGGCCACTAATTAATCAAAATCAAAGATGCAGGCTTTTGATTTTTGTAGTACTTTGAATATTCTATTAGATTACCAAGATATAAAATAAAATTATTTCAAAATTTTGAGTTAAAACTGGCTCTATTTGATAACCTTCGGTAAATCAGGACTTAATGTAAAGCAAAAAAAAAGCTTTTGATCGTTTAAATATTGAAATGTGGACCATGACTGTTTCACTCAAGTTTATCCACTATAGGCATTTAAAAAATATGATCAAATTGACAGGAAAATCTCGAATGGTAAATTAATAGCTTAAAATATTCAAAAATTAAACAACAAAAAAATGAGAAAAACTAACATATATCAAGTTGAAAAGATTTAATGTTTTCCTCGGTCTAACTTGATTTATTTATCACTTTTGATGTGATGTTTTTATCTTCATTTATCACTACACAGTAATATAATATAAATAAATAAAATAAATTTTGTTTCTGACCTGTAAAAAGTTATCCGAATGTCGTTCAAACCTTTGCACTTTTTACGTTGATTTTCCCCTCGTTTTCTTTCTCTCTGAGGATGAATCGTAGCGCAGGAAATTCCCGTCTTCGTTATAACCAATTTTCCAGGAGAAAACGACCAAAAGAAAAAAACAAAAAAAACAAACGAAACTTCTCTCCCAGTGGAAACGTGCGATAACGTCAGGCGGACGACACACAAAGGGGTTGCATCCGGGGCGATCGCGGTAAATCACATATACAAGAAATATTACAGCTAACCCAAAAAGAAATTGTAATATTTCTTCGGAATTTTTGTTTTTAAGAAAATCGTTCGAAAAGAGAAAAATTTACAAAAGAAGCGATTGATCGATACATGGCCTAAGCATAATAATCACATGTACTCTCTCTTATTAAATAGAAGGAGAAAAAAAAAGGCTGGATTTAAGAATGACAAAGGTCCAAAATTGATCGGGATGAGGTAACGAGAAGGCTGTCGTTCTACGGACGTGTGTTAAAACGGAAAGTGATTCCTTCGGTAAAGCACAAATCCCGCGGTAAAAGTAACACGGATCGTCGTAACTCGTGTGACATGAAGTGTCCGGTTTGTTTACTGGTAACGAAGGCGATTTATCCCGTGGGTCCGGGTCCGCGGGGGGGCGTGGGTTCAGTACAATACTCTCCTATTATTATAACTGTTGAAATATTGTTTTTACCTATGTTATGGGTATGGGCGAGGGAGAGCGGACAGGTGTGGAGAAGAAGTGCGGTGGCTTGGAGCCCTGCGCTCCTTCCCCTTGCATAAACTGGCTCTTGAATCGGCGTCGTGTTGGCGGCTTCCCTTTGACTCTCTCCGTCTCACAATTGTTTCTGACGATTTATCGTAGGGATGAACGATTTTTCTGGGGGGGAAAAACTGTCTCTCACTTTGACGGGATGAACTTAAAAGTCATCACAAGCCGTCGGCTACTTGCCAACTACTGGACTCGGTTCCCGTCTCGCCTCCCACTCCGTCATCCCCCGGAGGCAGGAGCGGATTGGCGGAGACGGGCCACGCCCACAACTGCCCCGCGCCCCCACTCCGACGTTCGCTTCCCCTCCCTGAGCGCTCACGTCTTCGCCCTCGCCGCTCGCCGCTCGGCACTGCTTCTCCCTCCAACGGCGAGGATCGACCACCTTCGCTAACCGCTCACCCTTTTCTACTAAATAGAAATACATTGCCTTCCCGGCTTTGCCATCAATTTCAAACTTACCACCCGCAACTTTTAATTCCAATTTACATTTCCGATCCACCCCCGACCGGATCTTGATAAAAATTTAACCCTCCCTCCCCAGCTGGGATGCAAAACACCCCCAGCATATTTTTTGAAGTCTAAAGTTAAAGGAATTGCAATAACGTTTACTAACAGTCTTTCACATGTTCAAAATATAGAACTCAAGCCTCAAACCATTCTTTGATATCAGAATATAAGCAAATTTAGCCAGGTAAAGTGCAACACATCAGCTCATTTTTTGGCACTTTTTGAACACTTAAGTTAAATAAAATACAATAATATAATAAATAATTGGTTTATAAAACCCACTAACAGTCTTTCACATGTTCAAAGTATAAAACTTTTAGAAGGCAAAACATCGCGCATCGTAAGCAACAAAAATTATCAAAATTTTCTACCCTTCATCACTGTCAACAAAACACATTAGAAAAATTGATTTTTATTTTTCAATAATCGGAAATAAGGGTCATTTATAATATCTTAATAAATCATTTGTTAAAGAACGTATTCTAAGTCTTGTAAAAAAAATTTATTCAACTTTTAATATTTTGAAAGACAAAATAAGGGCAGTATTGTTCTAATTTATATCGAGTTAGATTTTATACCGGGTGTCCCGTGAACAGACGTCAATAGCTCAGGAGGTATTCCGTACATGACAAATTGAACGAAATTGTCCTACATTGGACTTCATTGTTCAAATTTTGTCTCTTAACAGTATTAGAGATATTTCATTTCCATGTTACTTGAACATTTCACAACTTTTTTCCATACCGTACCTCGTATCTTGTAAAATATGATTCCTACTGGTAAATTGATTGGATGAATGGAAAGACCTATTAAAAACCTATGAGATTCATTTTTTAAATTTTTTATTGTGTTGTTGCATGCAAAATTGAAAATCACTTAGCAGATACAATTTCAAGATTGTTCTCTAAATTTAAAGTACGATTTTCTTGGTTCTGTAAATACTGACAGTTACGGCACTTACAGAAAAGTTGCTCCTATGAACGAGCTGTAAACACACGTAATTAATTTTTCACGGTATAACGTAAAGTTATCTGTTAATTGCTCAAATTTAGTTATTTTAGTTACAATAGGTTAAAAAACATTAAGATTTGGAAAATTCTATAAAAAAAAATAATGACAATAATGGAAACTAAACGTACAAAATTGGATATAAGAGAAAATAAAAGCTTGAGTAAAGGAAAATATGTCAGAAAAGGATGTCGTCCTTGAATTAGTCAAGAAGCTATATATTTTGATTATTTCACTTCATTTTTTTTTTTTTTAAGCTTTTTGTTTTTTCCAAGTAAATGAAAAAGATTCTTTGGGACAAAATTGGATTAAAAAAAAAAAGTTGAGAGCAGGAAAATCTACCAGTAAACGATATCACTCTCGAACTTCTCAAGAAGGTGGATATTTTGAATATTGCATTTTTTTTTTGAAGCTTTTTGTTTTTCTAAGTAAACGAAAAAGATTCTTTGGAAAAAAATTGGATATTAGAAAAACAAAACGTTTGAGAGCAGGAAAATCTATCAGTAAACTATGATACTCTTGAACTCTTCAAGAAGGTGGATATTTTGAATATTGCAATTTTTTTTAAGCTTTTTGTTTTTTCTAAGTAAACGAAAAAGATTCTTTGGAAAAAAATTGGATATAAGAAAAACAAAAAGTTTGAGAGCAGGAAAATCTATCAGTAAACTATGATACTCTCGAACTCTTCAAGAAGGTGGATATTTTGAATATTGCAATTTTTTTTTTTAAGCTTTTTGTTTTTTCTAAGTAAACGAAAAAGATTCTTTGGAAAAAAATTGGATATAAGAAAAACAAAAAGTTTGAGAGCAGGAAATCTATCAGTAAACGATGTCACTCTCGAACTCTTCAAGAAGTTGGATATTTTGAATATTGCATTTTTTTTAAGCTTTTTGTTTTTTCTAAGTAAACGAAAAAGATTCTTTGGGACAAAATTGGATATAAGAAAAACAAAACGTTTGAGAGCAGGAAAATATATTAGTAAACGATGGCAGCCTTGAATTATTCAAGAAGATAGATATTTTGAATATTTCATTTAATTTTTTTAAATCTTTTTGTTTGTTCTCATGTTCAATTTTATACTTAAGATTCTTTTTTACAAGTTGTATAACTTTCAATATATGTTTCAAAATCCTACTGACTAATTTTTTAAAACCGTTTGTAACTGAAAAATCAATTTTCTGGCAATTAAACGTTATTTTCACGTGGGTGGCTAATCTTGCAGAAATTAAATACTTGTGCTTGCTTACAACTCATTAGTAGCAGGAACTTTCTGTAAGGGCCGAATCTGTAAGTATTTACAAAACCAAGAAAATATTACCTAAACTTTACAAAAGAATTTTGCAAACTCGTAAATGTTTTTTGTTTACTTAGGAAAAAACAAAAAGCTTAAAAAAATGAAGTGAAATAATCAAAATATGTAGCTTCTTGACTAATTCAAGGACGACATCCTTTCCTGACAGATTTTCCTGTACTCAAGCTTTTATTGTCTCTTATATCCAATTTTATACAAAAAAGCACGTTTTTTTACATTTTATTATTATCATTATTTTTAATAGAAGTTTCCAAATCTTAATGTTTTTTAACCTATTGTAACTAAAAAAATTAAATTTGAGCAATTAACCGTTAACTTTACATTATACCTTGAAAAATTAATTGCGTGTGTTTACAGCTCGTTCATAGGAGCAACTTTTCTGTAAGTGCCATAGCTGTCAGTATTTACAGAACCAAGAAAATCTTACTTTAAATTTAGAAAACAACCTTGAAATTTTATCTGCTAAGTGATTTTGAATTTTGCATGCAACCACACAATAAAAAATTTAAAAATGAATCTCATATGTTGTAAACTGTCTTTCATCGATCCTATCAAATTTACAATAGGAATAATATTTTATGGCATATGATGACCTGAATGGAATAAAGTTATGAAAGGTTGAAGTAACATGGACATGAATATCTAGAATACATTTAAGATTCAGACTTTGAACAATAGGGACTTTTTAGTCCAATTTGACATATAGTATTACCTGCCAAAGTATTGAAGTCTGTTTATAGGACGCCAATATAAATTCGCTACAAACTAAATACATTATACAAAATTACAGCGCTCATCTTGTCTTTAAAGGTACTAAAATTTAAGTTAAAAAATTAAAAAACTATTTTGAAAAATCTTGTTTCCTTCTTCCATTAATTGTAGGGGAACCAAATTGATACTTTCCTTTAAAACATGGTTTGTCAAATAGAACTGTTTTTACACCTTGGAACATAGAAAGAAATAATATATATCAAGTCCAAGACAATCTAATTGTTCTGTAATTATTTTATAAAGAATTAATTTTTTTAACGCTTAACTCTATTAGCAGCTAACTCGGAAATATTGTAAAGAGAAACGGCAGTTCTGGAAATGAAATGAAAGGAAATTGAAAGTGAAGGATTCCAGTAAACTTATTCTGAACTTTATCTAAAATTTCCGAATGAGAAGAACAACGCGAATTCCAGACAATTGTAGAAAATTCAATGACAGGACGAACCAGTTTCGTTTAAACGAAAAATTGGGCAAAATTATGTGTTTCTTATTACAAAAAAAATTAAATTTATTTGCCGCTTTAATTTGCTGTTTTTCAATTTATCTTGAACCGAGGTCAAATGTCAAAGTTGGTTCAACATTGAACGGCCATCTGGCGTGGGTTAAACCTAGTTCAGAGTTAACCAACGTTCAATCCATAATATAACCTGTATGTTGTTAAACACGCGTTTTTATGATTCAACTTTTATTGAACGATAGTCAACTTCACCAATCATGAGACTACAATCAGTTCTACTTGAGGTTGAACTAGGTTCAGTAGAACGGTCGTCCCCTACAGACTGTACTCCCTTCTCCGAACTTCAAATTATGAATGCGGTTCCAGTGAATACAGTTTAAACCGTGATGACCGTTTGAAAAGGTCAATATCAGTTAATACTGATACGAGAGTGATTCTTGAATGTCAAATACTTGTTTTCCGATGAGCGTGATTACTTTGGCAGTGATGAAGTGCATGTCAGAGCACGCACGATGTCGTCAGAACCATTCTAGCGTACAAACGAGTTTGATCTTTTCGTGCGTACTGACGTTGAATTTAGAGTTTTGGTTATTTCACCATGGATGTGTGTGTGTGTGTGTGTGTGTGTGTGTTGTGTGTAATTGATTAGTCTTGTGTATGAGAATCGGTGTTTCTGGGACTTGAAAGACTATCGCAACAGAGAAAAGAAGTGTCACGAGCGGGATTCAAACCCACGACCTTTGGCTAAATACAAAAATTTGAAAAATGGCAAACAGAAGGGAAAATCCAAAAGGTGGGGTTGGGATGGGAAGTTCGTGTCCGAGTGGATGGAAGTCGCGATAGCTTAAGTGGTAGAGCAGC